GACTAAGTTCGTTTCATTACTATACTTCTAAACCTGTAATTTTTAATTTTTCTATAAAAGTATAATATAGCAAAAATTTTGCATTAAATCCTAATCACATTATATTTGGAAAACCTGGCGGGGTCCCGTCATCTTGACGTTCATAAAGTTTCTATGAGCTGACAAAAATCAATGCTTGGGCCTCAGGACACTAAACTTCCAACTCCTCCCAACGAAGAATAAGCTTGGAAAAGTTACTCCATGTTTTGTCACTGTTCATTGAATGACAAATGGCAAATGGGTGACAGAACAAAACACGGCGTAACTAGTCTAAGCTTATTCCTTGTTTATTAACAAGGGGGCAAGGGTTTAATTAGCGCCATTTGTACGAAACATTTGACGACCTCCGTGGCCGAGTGGTTTGTACGCCGGGTTTCATGGCTGTCGCCGACTCGAGAGGTCCCGGGTTCGAATCCCGGTGGGGGCAGATGTTTGTGTGATGAATACGAGCATTTGTACTCCAGTCATGGATGTTTAATATGTATTTATATAAATATACTTATATATGTACAGTCTATGTATTCTATCCGTTACCCTAGCATCCCATAACACAAGCCTTATAGTGCTTACTTTGGGGCTAGGCTAATTGGTGTGAGTGTCGGAAATATTTATTATTATTATTATTTATTTAAATGTGTGAATTCTTCGATATGACTTTTATCAAAGATTTAAATCGTTAGATATGCCCTTACTATAGTTTGACCACACCGAAATCTGTCTACACTCGAATGAGCGAACTCCTATCTCATCATGTCTCATCAGTGTTTATCTGAACACAGTGACAGCTTGAGGTTGGCGATTAAAAATACCGCAGGCATTTATTGCGAGATAAATGTTTTAAAATGCCGTCTTATGCCTTCCAAAAATGCTTCCAAAAGTGTAGAGTCAAAAGAATAAGGTCTATTCTTCCGCGTATAGCAGTAAGTCGTAAAATAATACGAGCTCGCATTTCGGACTGTCAGAAGTCTTTGACGCATGCGTTTTAATGAGGACCTTATACAGTATGTATTAAGGGTGACTTTCAATGTTTAAATAATGCCTAATATCGTTTTTGACCACGCGATCATCTTACGGAGCTCCGTACAATGTACCTTTAGGACACGTTTCGTCCACGATTTTGTTCGTGTTGGTGTATCTAGGGTATTTAATACCGTTGATTGTGACTAAAGAGAATTGTGGTTATGTACCACAAATTTAAGCGGTACACTTTTGTCCATCCCATCCCCCCCCCCCCCCCCCCCCTGGCCCTCACTTTCAGTGGCCAATCAAAGAGCTCTGCCACGTAAAGAGCGAAACACATGTAAGAAATTAAGCAGAATCATCCAGACTCAGGCCCGTATTTAGATGCGTGGAGGAGTTTTAAAATCTGGCGACACGGACTGTAAGACGGGCTTAGATGTATCAATACAAATTAAATATAAAAACACTTTTATGGAAATAAATCTTATATTTATCGAACGTACACATTTCATTTACTTACAAATTATAGTAATTTACAGTAAGGTATTTCAGAATAGAATCAATATTATGATTCTCAATAAAAAAGGAAGTTGCACCATTGCATGATGATTGGCCATTTTTACTGCAATATTGCAGCAATAAACACATCTTTCTTTGATAAGTGTAGTCCTTCACTTTGTTACTTCATACACTATTAGAATTACTATAAAAAAACACATATTTCGAAATTAATATCACCATTAAATTTAAATGCATCAAAAGTTTTACCAAATGGGAGTAGGTACCTAATTAATACAAAATATAAAATTTACGTCTCCTTTTGTTGATACAGATATTAATTACATAATAGCTTACATCGAATGTAAAAACTTTTTTCGGGTAGAAACTAATTATTCTCCTTACAAATAATTTAAATTAGTGGTCAAATACGATGAAAATCAAACGGAGCCATTCTTCGAAATAGTCATGTTTATACTATATTGAATATCGACAATACTTTTGTTCAGAACAGTAAATGTGTGGTTACCTTACTTCAAATTAAGCTTTTTAAAAAGTTTTAGTTTCAATTATTTTCATCTCACAACACTGTAGGATCCCATCCATTAGAGTTAGACAATAGGCCTGCGAATCACATGAGAAAGCACATGTGTGTGAACATATTACTAGTTGTATAAAGGCCACCTATATCAACCACCGACGAGAAACGACTATTGGGGTTTACACTGACGTACACTAAGAATGGCTCAGCATTATAAAGATCACTTAAAGGTATACTTATGTCACTTATACTACACGACACCACTTCCACACGACTCAGGATTTAATCGGAAGTTACCGTGAAATGACAACTAACAGGAAACATCCTATCCACTCTAGTAAGCTTGCTGGCGGTACAAATTCCTAATATCCGTTTATCCATCGCGAAAAGATACATTCATGATTCATCTTGCTCCTGCAACTTCACATCGATGCCGCATCACCGCATGCGTCGCTTTATAAGGCGTTAAGAAGTGAGATCTTCGCTTTCTGCATTTTATTTTGTTACCAAAACGGAAGCGGAAGCAGCCTCGGATTAGTGACGTATGAACTTTATGCCGTTGCCGCACTACTAAGGATACTGCGAGACGACAAGCTACGTGAAAATAACAAACATTTCGCGATGCTATCACCGCTACGCGTTCATAGTAATGAGTTAGTGTTACGGTTTTCTTTATCACACAATCGCTCATCATAAGAGACCAGGTTGGAAAACTGCGTCACATGGGAAAAGGAGCTATCATTTGCCGGAGTAACGACAATACAGTGGCAAACATTTTATTCTTTGTACGAAATTCATTAGCTTGCGATGCATCATTTTGAAGATTAATGCTTATTTTAAACTTTAAAGTAACCGTTAGCATTCTTTGGAATAGACACTTGTCCGCGGCTTTGAGGCGACCTATCCGAGATAAGTATGCTTTCAGTTTATAAGAATATTTTTGAATAAAATCGCCATCGCTCAATGGCATTAGCAGTGCGGCGGACAGCTCTGTTTGTGTAATTTGTATGGGCAGAGTGCCAGTTCTAACCGAACGTTAAGCGTGGCAGGACAATCGGCGTTAATGTACATACACCATGCTATTGTATCTCCATCACCAGCCTATTAATGTCCCCACTGCTGGGGCTTCCCTATGGATGGAATATTGGTGGGTACTAACCACTGCAAATGCACCCGGGACCAAGGGCTTAACGTGCATTTAGAAGCACGAAGAAGCTCAAGATAATAAGTTTTTGGTCACCCATCAAATGGCCAACCATTGCGAAAGTTAACGCCAACCACATGAGCGATTATGCTCATCTCCTCTCCGCTGCTAATGCATCTAGTGCAATTTAAACATATGGCAGATGTGAAGTTGGCTCAAATAGCGGCGCAGTCAACGAAATCGTCAGATGGGAGTGAGAGAGACGAAGCGATAGGGCTGCCTATAATTCGGCTGTATTGGTCATTTTTATCGCTTTCTAGAAAGTTGTTACACATAAGTCACTTTTTTGGCTGGTCACTTTGAAATCTGTCACCACGAGATTAAAGTATTTAACAATATTATGGTCATAAGTCATTGTACGATAACGACTATATTAATTTATTGGTCGTTTACATTACCAATCATAAGTGCGTACTGGCTCATACATAATACATATCATGAAATCTGACCATTAGATACAGGCTTTTTTTTATACCTCTTGTGAATTCCTTGATGTCTGGATAAATCACTTCTTAAAGTAAATCTTTATCACATATATTACATTTACAAGGTTTGCCTCCCTTATGAAATCTTTGATGTCTGAAGTACCAGTTTGAGTAAATCTTTTGTCAAGACGTTACATTTATAAGGTTTCTCCTGTGTGGATTCTTAGACGTATGGATAAATGACCAGTTTCAATAAAGCTCTTATCACAGACGCTAAATTTATAAGGTTTGTCTCCCTATGAATTCTTTTATGTCTGGATAAATTATCACTGGTATTCATTCTTTTTTATAAGGTTTGTCTCCCGTGTGAATTCTTTGATGTATGGATATATTACCAGTTTCAGTAAATCTTTTATCTCACACATTTCATTTATAAGGTTTGTCTCCCGTGTGAATTCTTTGATGTGTGGATAAATCACTACTTAAAATAAATGTTTTATTACATTTACAAGGTTTGTCTTCCTTGTAAAATCTTTGATGTCTGAATAAAGTACTAGTTTAAATTATTCTTTTGTCGCAGATGTTACATTTATAAGTTATGTCTTCCGTGTGAATTCTTTTGTCTGGATAAACTAACATTAGTAGTAAATCCTTTATCACAGACATTACATTTATAAGGTTTGTCTCCCGTGTGAATTCTTTGATGTGTGTGTGTGGATAAATTACCAGGTTCAGTAAAGCTCTTATCACAGACGCTAAATTTATAAGGTTCGTCTCCCTATGAATTCTTTTATGTCGGGATAAACTCACTGTTAGTATATCGTTTGTCACAGACGTTACATATGACGTTTCTCTCCCGTGTGAATTCTTTGATGTGTGAATAAATCACTACTTAAAGGAAATGTTTTATTACATTTACAAGGTTTGTCTTCCTTGTAAAATCATTGATGTCTGAATAAACTACTAGTTTAAATTATTCTTTTGTCGCAGACGTTACATTTATAAGTTTTGTCTTCTGTGTGAATTCTTTTGTCTGGATAAACTAACATTAGTAGTAAGTAAATCTTTTATCACAGACATTACATTTATAAGGTTTGTCTCCCGTGTGAATTCTTTAATGTGTGGATAAATTATCACTGGTATTCATTCTTTTTTATAAGGTTTGTCTCCCGTGTGAATTCTTTGATGTATGGATATATTACCAGTTTCAGTAAATCTTTTATCTCACACATTTCATTTATAAGGTTTGTCTCCCGTGTGAATTCTTTGATGTGTGGATAAATCACTACTTAAAATAAATGTTTTATTACATTTACAAGGTTTGTCTGCCTTGTAAAATCTTTGATGTCTGAATAACGTTACATTTATAAGTTCTGTCTTCCGAGTGAATTCTTATATGTCTGGATAAACTAACATTAGTAGTAAATCTTTTATCACAGACATTACATTTATAAGGTTTCTCTCCCTATGAATTCTTTTATGTCTGGATAAATGGCCAGTTTAAGTAAATCTTTTATCACAGACATTACATTTATAAGGTTTGTCTCCCGTGTGAATTCTTTGATGTGTGTGTGGATAAATGACCAGTTTCAGTAAATATTTTATCACAGACTTTACTTTTATAAGGTTTGTCTCCCGTGTGAATACTTTTATGTCTCGATAAACTATCACTGTTCGTAAATAATTCTTTTGTCGCAGGCATTACATTTATAAGTTCTGCCTTCCAAGTGAATTCTTTTATGTCTGGATAAACTAATATTAGTAGTAAATCTTTTATCACAGACATTACATTTATAAGGTTTCTCTCCCGTGTGAATTCTTTAATGTGTGGATAAATTATCACTGGTAATAAATCTTTTTTATAACGTTTGTCTCCCGTGTGAATTCTTTGATGTGTGGATAAATCACTACTTAAAATAAATGTTTTATTACATTTACAAGGTTTGTCTGCCTTGTAAAATGTTTGATGTCTGAATAACATTACATTTATAAGTTCTGTCTTCCGAGTGCATTCTTATATGTCTGGATAAACTAACATTAGTAGTAAATCTTTTATCACAGACATTACATTTATAAGGTTTCTCTCCCTATGAATTCTTTTATGTCTGGATAAATGACCAGTTTAAATAAATCTTTTATCACAGACATTACATTTATAAGGTTTGTCTCCCGTGTGAATTCTTTGATGTGTGCATAAATTACCAGTAAATTTGTTATCACAGACATTAAATTGAAAAAAATGTCTCTGTGTGAATTTCATAGTGTTTGGGCAAAGAAAAATTAGAGTATATTTTTTATCAGAGACGTTGCATTTATAAGGTTTCTCTCCCGTGTGAATACTTTGATGTATGGATATAATAACTACTTGAAATATAGCTTTTATCACGGATACTACATTTATTGTTAATTGTATGGGAGTGTCGCTCAGACCATTTATTATGTCTATGGGTTTCACTGTCTAAAATCTACGCGTAGCGTAGTTATGTACGTTGCCAACTTAACTGTAAAGTTTGAATAGCACTATGCTATTGTAGCTAGTATAAGCTTCGCGAAGGCCAAGTGACGCGTGGGCAACAGCGGGTTTGTTTGCAGCGCGTGCTAGTTCAAACCAGTTTCTATTTTGCAGCAGTGAATCGAGCGTTGTTAAACGATGTCGTTCGAAGGAATGATCATACGACATAGATTTATTTATTATTTATTTAAGATCAACACGTACCAACTTTTACAATCACTGAGCGTGCACTGTGGCCACTCACGGTAAACTCGTCCCGCCCGATGACCGATGAAAGCACGTAATTAGTTTAGGTAAGGATGTATTCTGTAACATGAAATCTCTTTAGATATCAATGATAATTCGACTTTTTGACAAATGTCACAATCAATTTCTAGCTTCTATAACAGGCATTGTGACATATTGCGGTGTAATGGCGTAATGCATATTAAACTTTCTAAAATTGGAGATGTCGAATAAGGAAGTGAAATTTTATATTACAGAATCATCTGCAGGTCGTACACTTAATTGGCACTATGCACGCTCAGTTTGTGGTCATTGGTACATTTTAATCATGGTATCTGCGTCGTACGAGTAGTATAGTAGTACTTTGAGCGTCATCGTTTGACATTGCTCATCTCACCGATGAAATACACAGGTTAGTTTAAACCGACGCAAAAAATTCCCCCTGCTATATTTTCACGCGAGTCCTAGGTGGGGTAGGCAGATAGAATAGAGCGCCATAAGACACGATCCGTACACACATCTTACGCTTCATTCACATTACTCTTTTCATACACGCCCGCCGGTTTTATGGCTTCTGACGTCACCTACATATTACAAAATGCGATCAATTTCTTGAGTATTGGAGTCTACTTCTCTCTTACTCCTACTAAGGACATTATGTGTTATTTATAGCATGAGTGTAACAGTAACGCCGCACGCTTCAACTCGACGATCAAAACGGGCACTTAGACCCTACACTAAGGCCGTGCTCAAAGACGCCAATAAACTTATAAGTTTGTTTGAAACTATTTCCATCATTTTCTTCATTACAACAAGATAGAGTAACGGCTAGTTTCAATAATCAAATTCTAGTAAGAGATACGCGTGTTACAACTTTATTGCCAAGATATTTTTGTAATTTTCTTAGGTTAAATTCGTAGTGAATGCACGGTAAGAGCTCACTACGTGTCCATGCTTATAGCGAAAATGTAATAATGAAAGGCAGAATTCTGCGGTTCTAGTGAAGAACGGCAGAATTATACATTCAATGTTACGTTTCACCAGTCTGTAGGTAAGCGTTTTCAGTGACCAAGTGGCTATAAACGTCATCATATACTTATCAAAAGAATCTAAGCAACATGAACTTTTGACTGACGTTTACAAGTTTTAACAAACTTTAAAAGCGAATGTTCTCGATTAGACCTGTACGTTTGTTTGTATGTAATTATTCTCTACTTATATTCTTTTGTTAATAATAACTAAGTAATTTGATTCAATAGTTACTAAAAAACCATTTGAATAAATGAAACATGTCTTAACAATAATAAAAAAAATGAGGAGCTGGCGAACAAAACGTTATTAATACGCATCTGGTCAAACGACTTTTTTTTTTACAGTCCGGAGGTTTTGGGTCTGCTGCATTTGATCTCAAATAATTTTCAATCAAAACCGCCTAAAACAGCGTTAAAATTACTAAATTTATAAATTAAAAACCATGCCAAAAGCTGGAGGTATGTCATTCAATTTTATGCAGCTCTTGTAAAATTTAATTATATGTAATTATACCCTTTTGTTCGCCAGCTCCTCAAATATCAACCGATACAACTTGCAGTAAGAGTGAATGATGCACGTTTGCTTAGACGGTGTTTAGTTGTCGCCTCCGAGCGGGGTTGTTTGTGATCGTGTCAAGGCCTGTTGTCGCGGTCAGTAGCGGCCGGCGCGCGAGTTGCGCTGCGGGGGCTCGCGCCGGCGCTCGCGGGAGCGGGAGCGGCGCGGCCGGCGCTCGCGGGACCGGCTGCGGGAGCGCCGCCCGCCCTTACGGCGTGAGTACAGGTATCTGCAACAAACCGGCCATGCATCTACACTGTATACTATAAGGGCGCCTCACGGAGAAAAAGTATATTAAATAATGAAGATAAATAATAAATATTTCCAACACTCACACCAATTAGCCTAGCCCCAAAGAAAGCAGTGTAAGGCTTGTGTTATGGGATACTAGGTTAACGGATAGAATACATATATTGTATATATATAAGTATATTTTTATAGAAATAGATATTAACATCCATGACTGGAGTACAAATGCTCGTATTCATCACACTAACATCTGCCCCCACCGGGATTTGAACCCGGGACCTTTAGAGTCGGCGACACCATGAAACCCGGCGTACAAACCACTCGGCCACGGAGGTCGTCAAAGTCAAGATAGAATATTTTACTGAAAGAAAAGATCATTTTATTTTTAATAATAAGTAGAAATGCATTCACAGTTATAAAAAAAATCACCTGCCATAACTGGGAATCAAACTCGTAAAATTTGAAACAAAAAAACACATGTATATAATGATAACCGTCGTAAGGGTAAATCACAAGAATTATTTTTTCCTGAATAACATAGCATTTTCAATGAAAGAAAATAGACGAAATTTGACTTTTTCATTAAGAATTAAACACAAACTACAATAAATACGAAACGGTGCTAAGTTTGTACAAGTATCGCTTTATTATTTTCTTGACGTACTAATAGTAAGAAAATCCTGTATTATTGAGTGAGAGGGTACTGGGTGGTTTTTACTTTGAAATAATAACATGTAGGAAACACGGAAAAGTAAGAAGAAATTTTTCTCAACAAAATGGAATTTTGTTGAAAAAATTATCTTTATAATGAACCATTCCCATGGTTATCATAAAATACGTCATGTAGTTTTTTTTTAATTTCACGTGTTTGATTCCCAGTGAATGCAGTTCTTGTTATTAATAAAAATAAAATGAGGTTTTCTTTTAGTAAAATATCCTTTCTTCAATATTTAATATACTTGCCCTCCGTGTGACAAACCCGTGGGACGCCCTGTATATGTCGCAGGCAATTTGTATGATTCCGCGTTTTACAAACGGCGTCGTCCGTTTAAAAACGCTCGCTGTTTAAAATATGCTGAAGTAAAATAGGCGACTCGTTCAATTGTTATAATTTCAACATTGATTGTTTTTGTAAGGTGACCATCATAAAACATAGGTTGGACAAATCACACATTATTTCAGACATCAGATAGTTATTTATTCACAAAGGACTAACTTAAATACATGCTTAGTTTGGCATTCCTAAAGTAATTAAACTAGTTGAATAAAAAAAATCAATAAATTGATCTTTAATGTAGTAGGTACTGAATTTTGTCTCGACCATGGTGGTCGGAAGTCCCTGTGTTAGATAACAATATATCAAAATTTTCATAATAATCTTCTAATGGTATTTACACGGGCCGTTGGACTCTCAGAGCTGTTTTTTTTATTCAGAATAAGATAGTCCACATCGCGAAGGCTCAGCATATCATTCTATTTATATCAATACATAATATTCCGCAGGAGTCCTTCGAGCACTAGTACCCATGAACACGTGCTTATTCTACGTTGTGAAAAGTCCTTTCAAAACGTAGAATTAGCACTGTTTCCAATATTTTTCTGTGTCATAAAACTACTTAACGACGCCATTTTTTTGTCTTGATTAATAAGTGGTAAGAAAAAGAACTAAATATTTTGATCCGCCGCGGCATTTTGTAAACGCCGATTGGATTGTCTATCAAATGTTGTGGCACATTATAAAGTGACAAGACAATTAACATTTTGCCTTCGGCATATTTTAAAACAGCGAGCGTTTTTAAACCGACGAAGCCGTTTGTAAAATGCGGAATCATACAAATGGCCTGCGATATATACACCGTTAATAGGATATTCTGCGCATTCATCATTGCACCGTAAATCACCCACTTTGCTTATTCTAATTTAAAATTTTATATCAGTTTGTTTCAATTCATTACATCTGCTGCGAGAGAAATCTAGATTCTGAGATTCATTATTGAAACTCTATGCGTCCCTTTTGCCGTTAAATACAGCATACCCAAGCGTGCTCGTTTCTTTTCACGCGCGACCAAAAACCGACTGACGGTGGCTCGCTAATGATTCAATTAGCTCAGCCCCCTTAGCATGAGCACCGCGATATCATGTATAACGCGTTTTTATCACGCTCAATTGTTAAATTACTATGAAGTTTGACAGTTAGACGAAATAAAAACGTGATATAATGTAAATTGTGGTGCTCATGTTACGGGAACTGGATCGCATTCCCATAACACCAGAAAAAATAAACGAAATTACAGGAAGATCGGTGCGGTTATGAAGCTATCGAAAACACACAAAATTTTAATAATAAAGCCGGGTCTACACCGCGCGTTTTGCCCTACACATCATCATTTTCTATCTGCCTATTAATGTCCCCACTACAGTGGCACAGGCCTTCCCTATGGATAGAATAGGGAGATTGAGCCATGACCACCACGCAGGTTGGCGGGTGCTATCGACTGCAGATGCAGCCGGGACCAACAGCTTAACGTGCCTTCCGAAGCACGGAGGAACTCGAGATAGAAGATTTTTTGGTCACCCATCCAATGACCAATGCGAAAGTTGCTTAACTTCAACGATCGCATTCGAACGCGCTAACCACCTGCGCCATCGAGCTCCTCTACAATCAATTGCCCTACACAATCAAAGAAATCGTCTACACAAAACTATGTTTCACTACACATATTTGTTTGCATCAACAATGTTTTTGCTTTCCGAACCCGATGAAAAACATGTACACAAATCCCACCGAGCGGGTCAAGCGATATGGTATTCTTTCATCGCACAAAAACATCGACAACTCGCAAGTGGGGGCTCCGTTCCAAACTTACGCTCCAAGTACAACTTTTCACTCTGACGTTTCAATTTTAACATAAAATGTAAGAAACGTTTGTCAAATTTAACATTTCTTGCAAATGGATCGTAGTTTTTGAACGTGGCCCTGTGTATTTTGTGTACGACAGCCACGTGAGTAGTAGACGGCGTGTGCAGAGAAACAAGTTTTTGTATGTGTTTTTGTTGAATGTTTTCACAAAATCTTTTTTAGTCCAACCAACCTTCTTCCTGTCCCGCACAGATGTTTATTCAATTCGATTCAAATCATTTATTTCAGAACTATGTTCCATAGTGTTAGTTACATTTGATTTAAGTACTTATAAACAAGGACGTATAAAAAAAGGCGGACAGAATTTCGGCTAAGACAAAAGTGAGGCACCGTAATGGCGGCGGTTATCTATGAGTGAGTGAATGCAGGGTTGCTAGGTTAGCCAATATTTTACCAATAAAACACAGTAAAAAGATCAAAATATTTTAATTGTTCAAAATTTTACCCGACTGCGGTGGATAATGTTTTTCGAGCGTGTATGCATGTATGTATGCCCAATAATAAGGCGCCAAAATGAAACCTTTAGAAAAAAAATGCTTATAACCCGTCAAGCGAGGTATCAAAGTAAAGGGTCTTAAAAGAATGCAGTGGATCCCCGGTAGTCCGACAAACATTTTGCAGGGCAGTGTCGAACTATCGAATTTGTCGGATTATAGAGTACTGCCTAAGACCCCCTATAGTCCGAATTTTTTTACAAAAGAGTACCTTGTAATCCGACAAATTACAGATCCAATGATAAGATTACAAAACATACTTTGTTATGTATGTCAAATTGAGTAAATTAAACAACACAATAGAAAGATTATGTTTTATTATAAAAGTAACGTCAAATGCTATAGAATTTACAAAAAAATATAAAAAACAATACCCTACGCGTCGAGCACAATTGTGATGGTGCGTACAAGTTGTAACTTGTTCAATCGTGAATTAGCGAATACTTGTATGTAATAGACGATGTCGGATTATAGGGGGTGCCGCATTAGCCAGGGGCCGGATTACCGGGGCTCCACTGTATTTAGAAAATAGGTATGCAAATCGTGTACTTAAAAAAAAATCGTGTTGCACTCGGGGACTGCCGCGGTAAAGCTATTGCATAGCATTATTTTTCAACTTATGCAATAATACTATTTATTTATGCAGTATTTTTTTTCTTTGATATTAATTCAAGTTTTTTCTCTGATATTAATAGATGGCGAGGCAGGCCTTATGATATTTTATTGGGCAAGCACAGCAAACAACAGCATTGCCCGGCGCCAAAAAACTTCCACATGCTCCACAGTTTGCCACCTTTAGTCCAAAAATTATAATTATAAAGTCTAAATAAAAGGGAGACAAATAAAAATAAGAACAGGTGCTGGGGTCTAAAACAAATATATAAAAAATGGAAAAAAAATATAATAAAAAATAAAACACGAGTGCGGGATTTGAACCGACGACCGCGGTGATGCGTCGAACGTTGGTCCCGTGGCAAAAATTTAACACACTGCACCGTTTCGATCGATACTGGAAAGGCGAAAATTGTGTTCATACGCACTGTTTTTAAGTTGGCATTGATCGAAATGTTTTGTTTAAATATTATCGTTAGTAATATTATTTATCGTTGAAAATATTTTAAAACTTTTGTTTCATTGTAGGTTTTTTTAAATAATCAAAGTTAATTCAAACTATTATATATAACAAATATTGACTTTTTTTATATTCCACTTTTTTTTCAACACTGAACTTAGCGCACTTTGCTGGTGCATTTGAAAACTAATTCACGTTCCAATTAATCATCAGCATAATTCGGCATTGGTAGCCACTGAGTCGCATTATGCTCTGTAATTGGAAAACCAACATGAAGTCTGTTTTTATTTTTGTATGAAAAAGTTTATATTTTCCACTTTTCATAAGCCAGAGTAAATCACCTAAATATGCCTGGCCAGGCCTGCATTCTTTTTTATATTTCTTAAATTAACAAAACATGTATTGAGTACTGTTTGTAATTGAGGAGTTCCATTGTTTCCCTCCGAAAATATTCATCAGCTCTGCACTTAATTAATACAGCCATCTCGCTAATAAACTGATTCAAACAAAAAAATAATCATCAAAATCGGTCCACGAATCTCGGAGATATGCACGAACAACAATTGAAAAAAAAAATAACAAATATGACGTATAGAACCTCTTTCTTTTTGAAGTCGGTTAAAATTTTTAATTTACCTTTTGAGGTACTGCATGCGTAACAACACGCCGGAGTCCTCTTTTAGTAGTATATAAGTCTCCAGCTTCAAAATGGATACTGCAAATGACACTATATTTATTTGGAATACATTCATCATCTCCGTTACAATTCCTAATAACTTGGATCCAGTCATTTCTCCATTCTACATTTTCTTTAGGGAATCTGATAAAAAAGAATAACAAATAATAGATTGAAGCTAATGTCACCCCAATTTCCCATATTTTAGGTAATATGGTTACGTGAACATTGACAACACTGGACTTTAGATTGATTATTTTGTGCTCAGAATGAAAATTGATTTCGATTTCTAAAAACTAGAAAAAAGTGATTATATTGTTCATTTACCTATGAAACGTGATTCCTGGATTTTTTTTCTTTCGGTCACTACGGTTTTTACACCATTTTACCACGCAAGACATCTTGTTTTAACTTATTTTTATCTCCACTTAACGTATCGGCTGCTTTGACGTTTGCACGCGTAATGGCTGACTATGGTGTGAATGTGTGTGTGCCGGCTTGTACATATAGCGACCTGGCCGACTCTGAGCGACACAGTTTGTTATTTACCGGGACTCTGTCCGCCTTTTTTTATACGTCCATGCTTATAAATGTTGGTATAATAAAATTTTATAGTATAGTATATATACATATATAGTATAGTATATCGACAGGTGCAAAGTAAATAAAGGCAACTACAAGTTCACGATTTTCTTTTCATTTAATTTTCGTACTAATCAAACAAGACGCCACAACCTGAAACATTTTGTCTCGCAGACTTCCCTTTATTTCAATCAATTTTCGAACGTATAAAAAGCCATCTACGCATGTTTTTGCAAATAGTACGAAGTCAATGCCACCAAGTAACGTTGGTCGCTTCAACGCGGGGCGCGAGGCGGGCTCCGGGCGCGCGCAAAATGACATCAGGCAGTTGGCTCACTTGTCACCGGCGCGCGCGTACCTTTTAGGTTAAGAAAAGTTTTTTTCTTTAACGGCAGCAATTTCGAGGTGTTATTCTATTCTCCATTTGCATTAATCCTTACAATTCCAAAATGAATAAAGAACGACGCAAACTGCAATTAGGAAGAATAACAAAATAACTGGACCTCAAGGAAACGGATGGGCTTTTAAAACTAAAAAAAAATGAATAGCCGTGATACTGAGGCTGCTATGTATAACTATACGGACGGACGTTATGTATGTATACGGATGGTATGTATAACTAGACGGAGTATACACGACCAACTGGTAGTTGGCTCAGTTAGCATTTTTTGAAGTACGATGTAAGAACGGCTATCTGCAAAATCTCGTAAATTTTCAAGAAGTTAGCTAAACTAGCTTAATATACAAATATATAAGAGTATAAATAGATTGTTAATATTTTCAGAACTATTGGTCCACTCATTAGAAAAATAACACACTTTCTCGATCTTTTCTCTCTCCTGTAAAGTTGCTATTTTGCAGATGTCTGTTTTTACTTTGCACCCGTCGATATGAACATATAGTATAGTATATATATAGTATAATAAAATTTATGTTTGCGTTAGTTTTTTGGTCCTACGATAAGTATTAAAAGAATCACTATTACCTCCGGAGCTCCCTGGAGATAGGCTTAAGATGCATGAAGTTGCAGAATCCACTGCGCGTGCATTCACCCATTTCGTACTGGCGGCAGCACGCCTCGCGGAAGTCCGTCACCGGCGACAACTCCGCGTACACCGGCCGCCCGCCGAACCAACGGTTATTCAAATCGTTCACCGCCTTCTCGGCGTCCTCTTCACGACGAAACTATAGGGAGATTAATAAATAAATATTTCCAACACACACCAATTAGCCTAGCCCCAAAGTAAGCACATAAGGCTTGAGTTATGGAATACTAGGGTAACGGATAGAATACATATACTGTACATATATAAGTATATTTATATAGAAATACAAATTAAACATCCATGACTGGAGTACAAATGCTCGTGTTCATCACACAAACATCTGCCCCCACCGGAATTCGAACCCGGGACCTCTCGAGTCGGCGACACCATGAAACCCGGACACGGAGGTCGTCAGATTTAATATGTATTTTATACGCCGCCCGCTACTTCGTCCGTGCTAACTTTAGTTTGTATTTTTAAATCTCTCAGGAACCTAAAATTTTTCCGGGATAAAAAGTACCCTTTGTCTCAATCGTTAGTAAAAGTAGTTTTTGCGTAATTGAGTGTCAAACAAACGAACTTTCACATTTATAATATTAGTAGAATGTGATTATAGCTAAACAGTGGTGCAGTGCATTTTTCACTTCAAAATTACCAGTCCCTGGATTAAAGGTGAATCAAATAAAACTCTTCACTCTGAACGCAAGAGTACAACTCCCACGATTTGACATTGGCCATTTAGTGATTTCCATCTTTATTATTTTGTGGTAATATCTTATGCATCATTATAGCATCTGATTTAGTATAAAATTCTAGCAAATAACTTAGACTATTAAATAAAAAAATAACAAGCTTTAACTCTGCGAGTATACAAAATATTATTTAAAGGACATTGGGCAAAAATGTATGGACGCTGCACCCACGTCCGCCACGGTTTAAACTACATTTATTTGAAAGGTATTATAGCCATGATCATCTGTGCCAAAGCGCATCAAATTTCATCGCGCGGGTCTTTAGTTATTTTAATTTAAATAGGTACAAGTACTATAACGAACGGACATTAATGAAACAAGGGAATTAATTTAGTTAGTTAATTCAACCGTACATAGAGGGCTCAGGTATTATGGGAGTACTTCACAAGGTGCACGGTTGCCCCCTTGTGTTATTCTGCCGCGCTAAAGTGAATCCAAAAATCCCTGCACGGGTTGGGGTTTTTTCAAACAGTCTGTTCATTATAGTAAATTGTCTTCTATGTAAAACGGAGCGACCACAAATCACACAAGTTTGTCCATGCTTCGGAGAAAACATGATTCCAGTTCAACCATACTAATTGACAAAATCGATAATCGTGTTCTAATGCTCAAAGCGTGGGAGATAAAAAACAATCAAGTGATAGGGAGCGCACAATCACAACGAAGTATGACGAGTCGACTATTTGCAACTGCAAGTTCTTCAGCCCCCGTAAACCGTTTTGTGGTGGCTCAATAAGTGCAAGCGCAGGATGGTCGGCAGGCTTTGTCGTATATCTAGTTGTATAGTACGATATGGTATATTATTATGGTTACTAATAATATAAAATGAAGGTACTATACAATTAATTTATTAAGCTACTTAAATATGCCCATGTGTCATATTTTTTGACTACCAGGATATTGTTTACAGTGTCATATCTTTTGACTACCGGGATATTTTTTTACGGTGTCATAATAAAAAGGCTAGTTTTTCATAGATCTATCGATTCATACTAATTACATTGTTGGCGGGGCTGGGTGTGTTTTGCCCATTGTCCTTTGCAAGACAGTCTACAATGAGACTCAACTAAAACTTCTTCAATAAAACACAGCTCACCTACCATAGTTTTTTGAAATCTAAGATTCTTATAGTTTAAGTCTACTCTTAACAGACATTCTTAAAATTTCATCTTCCTCCAGATAAAAACATAAATTTTGACAATAAATAACAATCGAAATTAAATTTATAGGTCAAGCAATAGAGTAAAGCCAAATAACAAAATTTTGCCGCTTTCTAGCTTTTTTACAGATGTTGGAGAGGGTCGTAAGAAGTTTAATTTTAAAAATCGCTGATATTTCGGTAGTTTTAGCACAACATTAATAACTCATAACTCTAAAAGTACATAATAATAATGAAATTATGTAATAAAAAAAGTTTTATACACAGTTGAATTTAATGACAAATAACTTTTAAAGAATTATTTTTCATCAATTAATGGCATTTTAAGGTTTTATAAAGAAAAAACCACAAACATATTCAAATAAACAACAATAATTGGAAAACCAGTAAGCGACAATAAAAAAATTTAGACAAAAAAATTAGGGAATTTAGTAATAAACAAAAATCTTTACACTGTACAATTTTTTCCATTAAGTCTGTCCATTCATTTAGTGGTGTCAATTCTGACACGATTCTCTAAACCTAAACTTAAATTTGACAACAGTGTATCCTTGTCATTCTCTATACGGAATGAAAAGGAGAGATTGATGTTAAATTTAGTTTTAAGTTTAGAGAATCACGCCAGAATCGACACCATTATCTTTTTGACAGATCGATGTAAAAATAGTGTAGTAGATACACCCTATCACATAACTCGTTCGATTTAAAGCTATAAGCGATTTAATGCTAGAACATTGTTTAATCCATTATAAGTATCAAAATTATTTTAGTTATCAAAAACTGGTGTTTAATAAATTCTTACAAAATCTCATTACATTTATTATTTTACCTTGTACAAATATTTGTGTGATGGGCAAGAGTATTTGTTCTGCGTCTGAATGTGATTTATCTTTACTATGTATGTATATACAACAAAATAAGCAGTATACTTTTTATAAGTTTGTTTATCCTAATACATACTCTGTACAATTAGATTTATTGATCATAATTAATAATTTCATTTAAAAAGAAAAGGTTTATAAAAAACTATATCTTTGACTTTTTACGTTTAAATATCTTTGAGTGTTTGCAACACCATGTTGTGGTAGTGTATGGCGCACATTTTGAAGTCACTTGTTCACTGATCTTGAGACAGTTGCAACGTAATTCTAGTTTTTGAACATTTTATCAAACGTTTAGTTGAGTAGGCATATAGTGTTGATTTGTTACTTTGTATTGAGCAAATCGTTCTTCCGTAAGGCCTGAATATGCCGAAAACAGTTGAGTTCAAAGGACAGACGAGGAAGTTTGTGGTGCGGCTACAAGAATACTTTGAGAAAGAATATCGTAATGGTGACCCTCTTATACCTATTTCACAAGTTCCAAACCGCGTTGCAGCCGCATTGGGTATCAGTATTTCGACCGTGATAAAAACGCACACAAGCAAATACGAAAGCAGAGATTATTAACTGGCTTCGTGCTAATGGCAAGGATGTGGACGACTCCTACTTAAAAGTAGAATTAGTAAACATTTTAAATGAAAATAAAGAACCAAAACGGTATGTCATTGATGAAATGGCAGCAGAATGTGGACATATTGTGCTCAGACTCCCACTTTACAATTGCCAGTACAATGCTATTGAACTGATATGGGCACAAGTAAATGGAATGGCCGCAAGAAAGAACACTACGCCACGCCACCGTTCACTGCAAACAAGATGATGCAACTTTTAAATAACGCGTGTGGTGATGTTACACCTAAAAATTGGGCGAGTGTCGTTGAATGAATTATAATGTCTGACTGGGATCAAGATGTTGCCTTTGACAATACACAACAGAATGAACTCATCATTAATGATGAGTATACATCTGACGATGAGTCCAGTTTGAAGAATCTGATATGTCTGAATAAATTAAACAAACTAAGAAGAAATTTATATAATAAATTTTATATACTTAATGTTAATATTTTAATTACTTGGTTTCTACCTCTTACAATTTGGTTGTACTCATTTATTTCTACCGATTATTTGTAATCTGTGGCACAATCTTAAGCCTACCATTCACGGGCGCGCCAATCCGCCGGATTTGTCGCTGGCGACAAGTCCGCGGACAAATCCGCGTGTGAATGTATTGGTGAGTGCGGCTCGCGGCTCGGCGCGGCGCTCGCCGTCGAGAGACGCGAGCGCCGCGCCGCACCCCAGCCGCGCCGTACAAATCCGTACGTGTGCTTGCACAGATTTGTCGGCGAACTTGTCAGTCATTTGTAGTGCGTGCACGCAGAACGACCTCTTAAATTGTTAATTCTGTATTCTGTATCACGTCTGTATCACTTTTTTGACGTTTATGCGATAATGTTTTAAGCCAAAAAGTTGAACATAATACTCATTTAAGTTGATATCAAGTTAATGTCATTTTAAAGAGTAGATCTTAATACGCTTAATTTGATGTAATTTTGATATCGCATTTTTCGGAGAGCATAATACGTAATGTGAAATTGACATCAAAACAATATCACAATTAGCGAACATAAAGAGTTAATTGTATCTCTTCTACAAGGGGTTTATCTCTTCTACGCATGTCCTCGGCATGAGCTCGTTCTAAATAGTCCATTACTAACCCGAAACGAGCCATTTTACTCTTTTTTATTAAAAAAAAAAAGGAATTTGATACCTACCACCACCACCAGAAAACCACCTCCTAACTTGTTAAGTCTGTATCACATTTTTGACGTTTATGCGATACTGTTTTATGTCAAAAAGTTGAACGTAATACGCATTTAAGTTGATATCATTTTAAAGTTGATGTCATTTTGATATCGCATTTTTCGGAGAGCGTAATGAGTAATGTGAAATTGACATCAAAACAATATCACAATTAGCGAGCATAATTGGCCTGCAGTTGTGTTGTTTGTATCATGAACGAGTATAATAACATGTCGTTCGGCGATCATAAAGAGTTTTGGCAAGAATTTATCCATACAGGGAAGAACGATACGCGCGAGGCTCACCAAAGTACACAGCGACTGGACTGCAACTCGACGCTCGTGTAGTGTGTGGGCAATGACGGATTTGTCCACGGATGGGTACGGCTCGGGGTTCGGCTCGCGGTGCGTGTAGTGAATGGTGGGCTTTAGTAATCATTATGTGTGGAACATCACTTAGTGGGCGGTACCCGTCCATGAATGAAGTACAATATTATTTGGATGACATTTTAACGTAAACAATACAAAATTTTATGGGCGTCTATCTGTCAAATAGATAATAAATGAATGGACAGACTATATGTCAATAATTTCGGAGATATAGCAATAAACGCGTTTTCCAATATGGCGGCCAGTTAAGACCAACTTACATTCCACCATTTTTAAACTTAAGCTTCTTATGACAAACCCTAACGTCTGTAGAAAAAAAAAATTGCTTTACGATCCAGTATAACCGCGATCTCGGTCTCTTAGGCGATTACAACCAATGTTAATAATCAATCTCTACTAAAAGATTGGCCAATTTGAGTTTAGTTGATTTATTATATTAATTATGTGTTTAGATTAAATTAACAACTGTTGTTGCAAAAGACAAAACCAGCATAAGGTTACCTTTTACTGGAATTTGATTTAAACTGGCCATTTATAAACAGATCCTTACCTTAATGTATACATTGCCTACTAAATGGTCACCGAGATTGTCACAAACATTCATTTCTTCTATCTCTCCGTACTTGTCTTCGCATTCAACAAAGACATCTTCAAAAAAATTATCATAATGTTCTTGCATTTCTTCATCAGACACATTTGCTACGACCACTGGAAAGAAAACATTTTACAATCCATTACGTGACTCTGTGATTATATCCATTATGTAGCCTACCAAATTCTCTTATTTGGTATGCAGGCTTGGACAGATGGCTATTTGACTATGTGAAAAATAATGAATACTAAAACATGTATATTGGCTAATAAATCATATATAATGATAAACATATCAATACTCTATAAACTCAGCGGCGTCCCAAATAAATGCTTAAATGCTGTGTAAGTGTTGTTACAAGTTGCAACAGGCACATGAGCCTGAGATCACATCCAGTACAAATCGGAGGATTTAGTTTTTTTGTTGTGAAGTGTGACCATGCATAAGTTTTTTTTTAAACATTCCTCACACTAAAGTTTTAACTGGTACCAAAAGAAAATTTTGGTCATAAGTGACTCAAACATTTTAAAGAAATAGGCCAACAACTAAATGAATGTGTCATCAAGTGGGTCCAGGTGGTATTGATGGTGCTGATGATAGATGATGCAAGCAAGACCACCCAACAAACAGATTCTCGATTCCCGTCTGCTGCTGGCTCTGCGTGTAATTTTTTCTAGTAAAAAAATTCTTTAGATTTCAACATTTAGCAGTTAAATGCTTTAAAAGTTAAAATATAAACAGATTCTTGTTTTGATATTTATAATAAATTATGTCATACTGCATTCATTGTATTATCAGTATTTATGAAAACCTGTTATAGTATGTCTCAACTATGCAGAACACAGCATCAAAAACTGTAACATGATTTAGGATGAGTTAGCAGATATATAAACAGAGATAGAGAGAGAATTTATTTTATACTGTACATCAAAATTTTAAGCCTTCCAATGTAAGGAATCTTCATAAGACATTAAGCAAGTGTGTTGTACACTCACATATAGTTGCCAACTGACAGATTGCAAATTTAAAAACAAACAAAAATAAAAACTGTGTATAGATTCTCTATGTAAATAAAACTACAACTTTTGGTGATTGTAATGGATTTAAACATATACAGTGGTGGTCACATAATTAAAGACACCCCCTAATTAACTACAAAAAAACTTACTTATGGTACTAAAATTATCTAAAATTGGTATATATTCCAGTTTAATTGTTATTAAACCATACACAATGTTGTATTCTTACAATGTGGGACAAAAAATAATTGTGTTAATTAGTAGTTTAGACATTGCTCACTATGGGAATGTAACACAAACTTTTTTAACATATTTTTAGCTGGCCAACTAATTAAAGACACTCGATTTGCTTAGAAGAAATAGAAAAAAATATTGTTATTTTTGAAATTATCTTTATTACACAATATTCCTAACACATTTATAAAACTTTTATTGTGTTGTTATGTTCCCATAGTGTGTTATGTACCATAAGTAAGTTTTTTGTGGTCAATAAGGGAGTGTCTTTAATAGGCTAGTTGACTCATGTCGAATTGTATTAAATAAATGTTTATTTCTTACAGTATTTGGTCTAAGAAACCTAAATATATCGATTTCACTTCATAAAAGCAGAAGATTGCTGTAGAAATTTAATTTAAAAAAAAATTTTTTAGTCTATATTTTTTAAACACTAAAGACGCTGTTCGCTACATCCGCCATGATTGTGACGTCTCTTTCAGTAAACAACTAAATGTCATTCGCGTGTTGTTATGGTGGATTCTTTAGTCTGAATAATTTTTTCTTAAAACACTTTTAACTTTAGAAAAGTTTCCGTTTACTGTTTTTTTTGACAAAACTAATTATGGATGCCGGCTTTGTGAAAGCAGAAAGCACAAATCTGCCAAGAATTGACGCATTGATGGTTGGTGAATTTTTTGCACTGAACCCCGATTTCTGCTCTGCGGAGCAGAGAAATGACAAGGCATCTATGTAAGTAAAGTGCATTTAGTATTACAATGTAGTAATAAACATAATACTGATACAACATATGAATTAAGTGTAATAAAGTTGCGTAGGTTAATTTCTTTCGGCACTTTAATCCACAACATTCCTGGAGTCTTCAAGGAAGTGTTTTTATATTCTCGTACAATACAATAATGATAATTACTTTATTTTTCGTGATATTTATTAGAAATCATGTTCTTTTTATTATAAACTCAGAAAAGTTATTTTCTACGTGCTTACGAGTTTTTGTTTACTACAGTTGACATCATAGCATAGACAATCTATAGACTAAAATGGCCGACAGTGTTTTTGTATGTCCATGAAAATTCTATTTTAAAATTAAAGATTTGTAGCTTTCTAGGTCTTAAAAAAATACAATACATTTTTTTTCGGTCTAATAGAACATTTATTAACCATTTAAAACCTTATTCCAAAAAGGGTCAACTAGCCTATTGTGTGACCACCGCTGTATGTACCGAAAATTAGATATTGTTAGGCGGCAGCTAGACATTCAGTTTGTAATGTGGTTTATCAGTATTTATCATACTGATGATCCACATTCCGTCAACAAAATGTTTTGAAAATGCTAGACGTTCAGTATTTCATCAGGTCAGTATCATTATTTCTGAGTAGTTCAGACATGAAATGGATACAGAGAAAGCTTGTGAGGTTATTAACTTAGCCATTGGTTTAAAAAAAAATAATATTTAAATTTATTGTCTGAAATTAAAGAGCATAATTATCTGATCGTTTGTAATGGGACAGACGAGCTCGGCGCCAGATCCGGCAGTGGCGGCGCCGGCGTGCCCTCAGAAATTTCATCAGATATAACATCCTCCTCTATTGCTGTTGCAATGCATACTGATACTAGCGATGTGCCGAGTACGGCTTGACTCGAATCAGACTTGATTCCTGCCTTGTATTTGCTTACTCGATTACCAATTTATTTTGATTTGAGTATGCCAGACTCGATTTGGGTACTCGAGTCAGGAAGAATCGATTTTGTACTCGCTGACTCTGTTGTTAAAATTACCCTAAAATTTTATTTTGTGCAAGTTTTGATTCAAAAACATGCTTTAAATTTATTTGATTCGCCTGGAAATTTGTATAATTTGATTCTGTTTTAATAAGTAATATGACTTGCAAAGTTCGTTAAAAACTAATGGAACAAATATCTGAAGTTCTTAAATAGCTTTTAAAAAGATCTATTTTTGTTGTGTAATAAAACAAGTAGAACTAGATCTAAATATATTCATTAAAAACGTTGATGTGTTAAGTTATTACGTTCAACCTAATGCTGTTTGAACTTTAGTCCATTTCAATTTTTCCTTTTAGTTCTAACATTGTTAACGGATTCGTGTTCTGGACTCAAATTTCTAGAATCAAGTCCAGGACTTGAGTTCTTGATTTGAGTCTATATTCGAATGCCAAACCTAGAACTAGAGTACTGGGCTCAAATCGCAGAATCGAGTCACAATTCGAATACTGTATAAACCAACTCAAGTCGACTCGTGCCCCCAAAAAAGCGACTCTGCACATCACTAACTGATACCCAGTGGAATTTAATGATCATCTAGTGTAGTGTACTGACAGGTGTCAATATTTAACACAAGGTATAATTCCGGAATTCCGAAATTTAGAAATCCGTGATAAATACTGATTTTCATCAATACACTAGCTTACATCGTCAGTAAATACCACATGATTTGGCTAAGACTAATGAACCACATTAAAAACTGAACGTCTAGCTGCCGCCTTTAACATTTCAGCTGTTATAATAATAATATTATGATTGATGAATGAAAACAAGGTACTTACAGTGACTACCGTCTGCAGATTTGGCAGAGTTCTGAGGATTCACATACAAATTTTGCAGCAAAACAGTTTGTGAAAACGTAGGTTTATTATGAATACGAGAACAACGATCTCCATGGCGACAGGCTCCAATTTTAAAGTAAAAGGAACAATTAACTCTGTAAATGAGAAATAGAATAAAAATCAAAAAACTATAATTTAGGAAATCATTTTAGGTTAGTAACTAAAAAACTAGGAACTATTCTTTTGCAAAAAAATTAATTAGGAAATAAGAGACAATTAGAGTCAAGCAAGGAGCGGTATAATTAAATAATATAGTTAATCTTATACTTACTTATCCTTTTCGGTACCAAAAATAGCCGCTAAATATTCTGCCATTCTGAGCAATTCCAATGTAACCTATAAAAATCGTATTTCGTTGGTTAGCAAAATTACAGATTGAAAGTATTTATAAAAACTGAATTAAAAAAGGACCTTTGCACTAGTTTTGACAATCAATTAGATCATATGCGCTAGAGCTGGAAAATATAACATGCAATTTACAAATATTATTCCGCCATGACGCTTGGTCACCGCTTGGTATAGTATGTATAGAGTAGATAGAATAGGGATGTAAAAAAATAATCGAATATGAAAAAAATCTATTAATCTAATTTAAATTTTAAATTACAATCATTTTAATAGGTTATTTTATTTTTCGGAATAATCGATTAATAATCGATTTTTTTAATAACCATTCAAGCAATTATTACTGATTTTTCATCTATAACTCCCCGACTTTGTTTGGTTTCCTGGCCCGGAGTCCGGAACGCGAAGTGCCAATGCATAGACTCGTCCTAATCTAAACTTCTTAAATCTCACAACCTTTAATAAGTTGAACTTAAAGAAAAATAACGTTGTCTTAAAGCTTAAAAGTTTTTCTAAGCATATTTTGCTTAATGTGACGTTTCGTTACAAGAAATAACTTTGCTCTAGGTCATTTAAGTGAAAAGAACTTATAAGCCTGTAAGGCATTGTTATGTTTTTACATGTTAAGAAATTAACTTTTTTTGGGTTTTTCTCTGTTATACTAAATAAATTTAACTGTAATTTTCATCTATTTGCACTTTCAAAAGTCTCTGTCTTTTAATATTAACAATTATTACACCAACATTAATTTCACTTTTAGTTTTGATTATTTACAAAAAACAAAAATCAACAAACAATCTGCTAATATTTTTCGCGAAAAAAGGATTCCCATTTTCGTTGCATTGCGTTGACTGAGAGAAATAACTAAATAAGTAGAACGTAAATTCATTCAACTCATTCATTCGTTTCGTTGTGTTATGTTAAATGCTTAATTTATCCGTGTAGAACGAATTAAGCTTATCGGTAACTGAAATTAAGAGCTAAAATTCAAAATACATTTATTTTTTATTTATTTCTATAATACTATTTTGTCGATTTATGTGAAAAACACTTAAATTTGAACCTTTTTTAATTTGATTGTTCTAAATAAAACTTTAATTTGTGTTGATTATATGAGACCTTACTTTTACTGTTATTTATTTATAATTAATAAATATATTGATACAGAATCTATGGCGTTTATTTTGAAATTGATTGGCAAATTAGGGAAAAATCAATTATTATAAATAATCGATTATTTTCTGAAGAAAAATCTATTATTTATTCATTGATATTTTCATACTAAGAAAAAAAGCTGATTAATTAAAAATCGATTTTTTATGCACAATGTCACATTCCTAGAATAGAAGTGCCAAAGTGGTTGAGGTGTGCGTTTTTAGAATAACGATGCGCGATAACGATGCTAGGTTTGGATGCACGCATTCGATGCGAATGGGTACCGTTATTGGATGCCGGATACCATCTTGTTTTTGTCAACGTTACTGTAGCCACAGCGCCACAAATATATCTATGCCGGTAGAGATGTCGCTAGCGGTAAACGAAAATGACAAAATGCTATGGAATAATTGTAATTAAAATTTTTGCCACCGGCACAGAGAAGATTGTGAAATTAGGTGTGAGCGTTCTAAAGACGAACCGGTTTCAAGGACCGTTTTATTTTCCGCGACGATATAACCGTTTTACGTTTCGGATCAAAACAGTCTTCGTCGAACAACTAGTCCTCGGATTGTCTGCACGCCAATATGTTCTTTATGAATAAGTAAATACAGTCTACAATAGAACGCAATGATATGAGGCCGTTTCGTTCTATGGTAATCTTTGATTTTACTATAATATAATCTTTATTATTGAACACTTAAAGTCGATTATCGTATAACACTACATTTATTTTATGTTGCGTCGTCTCGTTCGCAGCAACGAAACGAACGTTAGCAAGATTTCATTTAGTTCAGGAGCTCTACTCTCTTTCTCCGAAACGAAATTTCGGCAACGAACGAATTTTAAACGAAATTTCGCCAGTGACTCTACTCTATTTCATCTTGGAACACGCAAATAAAGTTCGGAATCACAGACAATTATCGTGAACGAATGGAATGAGTTATGTTTGTGAGTTTTTTTTGTTTACACTTTTTAAATAACGTTTTTTACTTCAATACAATATTACTTTATGACAACATTTTTGATTACATTAAAACAACCTCTTTTGACAGTGTTAGCCGACTAATTTGTAGAGTTGATGCAATCGAATGTATGTCAACCTAAATTTGTCGTGTAACAGTGAAGTATTGGCAATACAATAATAAACAAAAATTTGATTTATTCGTAAAATTTTCATCCTAAAAAATGTTCCTCACGCTAAGCAGCCTAAATTAAAAATACTCTAGTAGTAATTTTAAGTTTAATTTAAACAAAAATCCCAAAACGAAAATGAAAAGATAACACTTTTCATTTCGTCAATGTTAAAATTTCGAACAATTATCTGTCAAATTCAACTTTTAGTTCAGAAGTTTTGTGAATTAGAGTAGGCTTAGAGAATTTAAATGTCAAACTATTTTCGGACGAACGAATTTTCGAAATGAAATAGAAACAGAGGGTATGGCCAGAGTGCACTCAGATTCAGATTCAGATTCAGACTCAGAAAACAAGCGCGAGAAATATACAGTGTAGTCTAAGCAGGTTGCCTGTTGCCACTATGGCCACCCTGCTTTAACTTCACTGTTTATTTCTCGCGCTTGTTTTCTGAGTCTGAATCTGAATCTGAATCTGAGTGCACTCTGGCCGTACCCAGAGTAAGGAACGTGTGAAATTTCGATCGAAATTTCGTTTTACGTTGAAATAGTAGGCCTCCGGTTTCGTTGCGTTACATTCGTTCAACCGTCGCGTGTCGTTTCGTTGCGTCGCCCAGCCGCAACCAAAACCAGTTGCGAACGAGAACCGTTTCGAGGACTAGTTTTCGTTCAAGAGAATACGGTTGCGTTTCGTCGTCAGAAAACTTGAGAACGACCCATTGCTAGTGCAAATACTAAAGAACTCGGTACTAGAGTTTCTATAGTATTTGGTTTTTGGCACTGGATTGCGTTCAAAACATACGTTTTTGAGAGCAACTTTTTGCGTAATAATTATGCCATTAACTTCAGTTACCATACCGAATAGTAAATAAATGGTTTCAAATACATTTTTAAGTCATAAATAATGGAATCGAAGAGACACACCCACATATAATTAATCGCATCGCATCCCGTGATACTACAATACCGATGCTGGCATCGATGCGCGCATCAGATGGAATTTATCTGTTATTGATGCGCGCATCGGATGGGATTTATTTGTTATCGATGCGCATGGATATCAAAAATATCTAAAAACGCCCATCCATATGAAGTGCGCGATATATATTGATAGTTCATAAAATATGGATATAATTATATACATGCGATATATCGCTTACACCCGATATTATCGTATCATCTAATACCGTCTTTGAGTATCTATAAAAGGGGGGAGTTTTTTGTAGGGGGGAGAGTTGTAGGTACCATTTTGTTCGATAACTTTTTGCCATCTTGTAGGTAGACTGTGTGCGGTGCGACTCAACTGCATAAGTAATTCTCACGCACGCACACTTCTGTAAATAAACATTCAATAGAGCGAGCGAGATAGAACTTCACGCTTCAACGCAGTGCGAGCGAAACAGCGAGTCCGCGTCGCTTGGCTTGGTGACTCTGTGTTTTCTTTTCTCTCTCTACAAATGGCTGAATTGTTTTGTTGTCCGTTTCTTGTTAAAAAATGGCCTCCTCCTCTGTCCCATAATATAAGTCATATCTAGATATATTTTTTTTTACCAGTTTTTAAGTATTTGAAGATATTTAACTCGGTATGTTTGTTCCAACACATAACAAAATTGTCAATTTTTTTAAGTACGAAGAAATCATTTTATGCAAAATGTTACTATTTCCAAAAAATGGATGCGTGTAACTTATGTACGCGCGTGAGAAGTTATACTTCTTTAGCATCATTAAAAATATTTTTTAATTGCATGCAAATAATTAATAATTACAATAAAATAATAAAAGGACTGGAAAAGGATAGTTAACACAGTCAATTAAGTTCAGTTTTAATTTGAAAAATTAAATAAACATTTAAAATATTCAATTAAAATCACTACTGAATTTAAGATATTAGTCCATATGTAATTAGCACTTGTAAGTAACTAAAACACGTTGTGTCTATATAGAAACTAGAAACATGTGGATAAATATTATAAATATGAAAACAGTGATCAGAGGCGACGAGCGTGCCAACATTGTTTTTGACAACGCGATCATCTTATGGAGCTCCGTGGATCGTTCAAAGTACCTTTCGAACAGATGTCTAATTTAATACCACTAAGTGGTTAATAATCCACCATTATTAGACACTAACATTCATAACGCGCCCGCGGCCAACTTCATGGTGTTACTGTTGTGTTACAGTGATGCGCGCGCATCTCGAAATTTCACTCACATGATTTTTTCATAACGCGCCCGCGGCCAACTTCATGCTGTTACTTTTGGGTTACAGTGATGCGCGCGCATCTAAAAATTTCACTCTCATCATTTTTTCATAACGCGCCTAAAGAAGTATAACTTCAAAAAACAGTCTCCTTCATAAAAATGAAACAATAAATAGTCAATTGAAATAAGAATAAAGATGTTTGGATATCGGAATCGCCTTTTTTAATAAAACCAATAATAAAACTAAATCTTTTTTTTGAAACCCAACACTTTGATATGCCATCTTTTTTTAAGTTGTTTCATCCAGAATTATGTTTAATGAAACAAAGCTATAGGTAGACGGCTTAACTGAATCCTCGCCTGGGTAAAGGGTGTGGGGTGGACGAGAACGGGGACTGTGTGAGGTGCAGGTGGCGGGCGCTTGAAATTTTGACAAGAATGTGCCTCGTCTTCACTGGGTGTGAACCCTTTACCCCTTAGACGAAGACTCAGTTAAGCAGTCTACTTATATTTTGACAATCTAGAATGGATCAAATTTCCCCAATAATTGGTTCTTACTGTTAGAGTACCATTGTCTTTACTTGACTATAGATTCTAGACTTTTAAATCTGTTTTTATTTACTTTTTTGTTTTCATGTAAATTTACTTTTTAATCAGGCGGGGTTAAATTTTTCAA